CTTCACTTTGTCAGGCAGGTCCTATTTAAGAGATTTCTTGATTGCGAACAGGTGTGGCAGTAATCAGGCCTGGGTGTGGCTAGAGAAATTGAACTCAGGTGTGATAAACCACAGTTTTAACAGGGGGGCAAACACTTCTTCACACAGGGCCATGTAGTTTTGGATTTTGTTTTCCCTTAATAATAATAACCTTCATTTAAAAACTGCATGTTGTGTTTACTTGTGTTATCTTTGACTAATATTTAAATTTGTTTGATGATCTGAAACATTAAAGTGTGACAAACATGCAAAAAAATAAGAAATCAGGAAGGGGACCAACACTTTTTCACACCACTGTATGTCATACCCATGTTATTATACAAATTTGTGTCCTCATAAACCACATAAACATGCACACACACACACACACACACACACACACACACACGTGCGTGTTGGGTTTCCATGTTTTATGGGGACGTAATAGAATTAATGGTTTTTATACTGTACACACTGCACGCAAACCTTTTTGCAGTTTTAGATTTTCAAAAAAAGATTGTTCTGTATGATTTATAACTTCATTGGGACGAAACAACTTTCCCACAAGGTCAAAATTTACTGGTCCCCATAATGTAGGGAATACCAGGACTACACACACACACACACACACACACACGTTTAAATATTAATTATTTATTATTTAAATAATTAATAAGTAATTATATTAAGATAATTATAATTATTATAGACCTATCTAAACAACCATCCCTGTAAAAGAAAACCTGCATTTTTAGAAAATGATTGACTTTGTATAATATTTTTGTTTTATTTTATTTTATTATTTTTATTATTATCATTATTATTATTATTATTTTTGCAGACGTCCCTGAAGAGATGTTTTGTCACATTTACTGTATAGCTATATTCTGGGAACAATTTTCCCCAAAGTACAGCTATGTGAACACACACTGACTGAAATGTATTACAAAAACAACCGACACATTGATCTCGGGGGGCAGCAGGTTGTGACATTCCAAAGGCTCTTATTTGATTTGTTGTTGTTATGATTTTATAATGATTTATGTTCTTGAAAATAACATCAATTCCTGCAGTTTAAATGGGATGGATTGCCTGAATTATTACAGATCTGAGCATGTAAACATATTACTGTAAAAAATGGCAAAATGAATATGTGTTGCTGGTTGCAACAGAATGATATAAAGTAATTTGGCCTGTAATCTTGTTTTTGCAGTGAGAGGTGTAGGATTTATGATCAAGTAGCTCCCTCTGGTGATCACTTCAGTCATTTCATTGAATTTTTCATGTCATGTGATTATAATTTTGTTTTCTGATATTAGGGAGATTTGCATCAAATCATATGTATGTTAATAAAATGGAGACTAAGACATTCATGTACTTACAGCCCAACCTGCCCTGCGTGGACAACATGGCTTTTGACATGGATCGGATGTCCCGCAGTCAGACTTCCAGCCAGAGGACAGCGCTGGTGGACTTGTCCTCTGAGACCAGCATCAGTCTGGAGCCTCTACGCCACTCCAGTTCCTCCCAGCTTCCCTCCGACGAAGAGCTCATTCCTCGCTCCGGAGAGATCAACATTGCTGTCACTAGTAAGAGCGGGGCTTATTCTCTCTTATTTTGTCTCTCTTATTCTATCTGGATGTTCTTATAGGTGAAGTGTGTAATTTCTGCATCACCAAAGTGTATTGCAAAAATCACACACTTCGTCTTTAAGTTTGCTCACCTCTGTCCCACCTTCTCCTTCATTTCCTCCCCAGCAGGGGGTAAGCTTTCCTTACTGTAGCGCACTGACTGCATTGCTCCACCTGTTGTTCAGGGACATCTGTGTGCTGCTGAGGCTGAGCTCAGTGATGTGAGCAGGTGTCTGTGCTCCACCGCAGTGTGTCCTGCCCTTTACTGCAATGAATATTGTGTACTAGACTTCTTAAGTCACTGCGTGTGTGTCATGGCACTCTTTGGTCTCTCTTTTCTGACATTTAAAAATAAATTCTAAATTCTATGTAACCATATATAATTGTATAATTAATGGGATAATGTACATTCAGCCAGTCATTATTATAAAATAAACACCTTCAGGATGATCACATTGTAGGTGTTATTTTGCGATAATGACCATTTGACTTTATATTATTGGTTACGTTTTTTATATTTTAGTTGTAATAATGCACATGTTTTTATAAAAAACAGTTCAAAAACATTTTAACAAAAAATTTCCTTTTGACTTAAGTGGGCTTATTTTATTTTATAAAATACAATTTTATAATTTTATTTTTATTTTTTTATTTTAAAGGGGTCATATGATGCTTTTTTTAAAGATCATTATTTTGTGGATTTGGTGTAACAGAATATGTTGACATGCTTTAATGTAAAAAAATCAAATACTGTACATTATTGTAGGTCCTCTATGCCCCGCCTCTCTCAAACGCTTCGTTTTCTACAAAGTCCCTCCTTCCGACAAGCGCAGTCTGCTCTGATTGGACAGCTGACCCAGTGCATTGTGATTGGCCGAACACCGCAAGCACTTGTCGGAAATGTAACGCCCCTTACCATAATCGCAAGCTTCATCTTTCAAAATAAATGTAAAGACAGCCCGAAAGGGGAACAGAGTCGCGTGACAGACACAGTGATGAAGCTGGTCTCTCGCTCTCTCTCTCCGTCTCTCACACACACGCACGCACGCGCACACAAATCAGCTTGCAACACTCCAAAGAGAAAGGAAAACTTGAAATCGCATCATATGACCCCTTTAAAAATACTATTTTATCTTGTATTCATGTTTTTAAATTTAAAAAAAAAAAAGAGTTAAGCAGTTTATTTTAATCTTTGTGTTACACATTTGTTTTTAAGATACTTGCATTTTCTATTTGACATAATGTCTAATCCAGGTGATAGAATGCGCTTTTTTTTTCTATCAGCCACTGCTGTTTTCCCCTTTTTTATTTTTTTATATCTGTCGTTGTGGTTGCTGTATGTAGTCTTTGAAATGTACATTCCATGCCATGTGTTGCAAAATAATATTTGAAAATTAATATTGGCAAATTTTTAAATTTGATTGTTTTGCTACACAAGCAAGCCACCTATAGTAACAACCTTAGACCTTCATCAAAAACAAAATATATGTACGTATATGGTGACATCATATTCACACTTCATATTCCATATTATATATTTTCCTCTTGTCTTCTCTTGCATGTTAAAAAGTTTAAGGTACACTTGGAAAGATTTCAGACAAAATGCATACCAACATATCAGAGGGTTTTATTTTATTTTATTTTACCTGTGACTCAACTTTGCTCAAGTTGGCTTTTAATAACAGACACCCACTCGTTTGCTTTCTTTCTGAAGTTATTTTATTGTTTAGGTTGTGCCAGCATTTTTAATTAGGTTATGCAGAGCAGTAGCTCACATGTTGAGTGCAATGAAACTAAACTAAAGAACAGAAAACTGCATGCAAGTAAAATAAGTAAATGCTCAAGGAACTACATACCTTTGTTGCAGAAACAGATGTAAGGTAATTACACCTTTGTGGGATAATTTATTATTTACCAACCATTTGTCCTGATGCTATGTCTTTAAAATATTATGTTCAGCAATTTTAACCCCTCCTGTTGGTTTGCATTTGTATTGCAGTGATTAATTATATTAAAGAACCCCAAGCAGGTGTATCTGCTTGAACAGCTATGCAATTTTTGTATGGTTTTAAAGAAGGTTTTTGGTTGTTTCTGAAATCGTAGTGGTCTCTGTGTAACAATTTCTTGTCTCTAAATTCTGTAAAAATTTTGCTTTTTTTATTGCTTTTAAAAAAAACTCTGTGAAATACTTATTAATGCATCTTCTAATGACATGGTCTTCCTAACAGATGCAAAACCCTCTCTGCTTTGTAAATGTATGGCTAAACCAGCACTAAGTGTCATGTGCTCTGAATGTGCTACGTTCAGTTTCACTCTCGTGTTTTATCTGTCTTGTTTGCGATCATCGCTTGCCTATGGTTTCCTCTACTGTTCCATGGATTAGAGAAGTATACCTCTTTTCTTCACGCCTCCACCTGTCGCCAGTTTCTTCTTCTCTTCGGCTCTCTGTCGAGATGATACCCTGGCCCTGCCCTCAACAGAAAATGACCCCCCTCCCCCTTTTACTCTGTTAACAGAAGAGTGGTTTATTGTTGCCAGCTTCGGCGTCCTCTCTGCTCTCACACTTTGCTACATGATCATCAGAGCCACTGCCAGCGCCCCCACCTATGAGTGAGTATAGATCAAGATATTCTTTTTCAAGATTTTCAGATTGTCACAGCATCACTAAATACATTTAGTATCTACTGCACAGCATGATCTGTCACATTAGTGTGCTACTACATTAATGTACTACTTTTCTACAAGTAAATATAAAGTGTCAGGATTATGCAGCTGTAAGGGCTGTAGAATCTTTAAATTAGTTTGATCAAATTTTATAAAAGTTTATTTAGATTTTATATGTAACAAACCAGTGTTACTTTAATATTATTAAGATACTATTACAGTTTTAATTAGTATTTTTTTTATATTTCTATTTTAATTTTTATTTGTTAAAAATTTAGTGCCCACATCTAGATTAAATTTTTATGAGTTTTCTATTATTTCCACGTGCCTCACTCCAGTGCTTGTTTTTTTCCCTTTATTTTTGTCTTTTGCAGACTGAAGTTGGAATGAAGATATTTTTGTGGCGTCCTCGTTTCTAAAACAGAAATGCATCCTGAAAAATAAAGTTGCCGATTACACTTCAAGTCCGTTTCAGACACATGCATTTGTAGTGTTATTAGAGTTAAAGGGGTCATATGATGGTGCTAAAATGAACATTATTTTGTGTATTTGGTGTAATGAAATGTGTTTATGCGGTTTAAGGTTAAAAAAACACATTATTTTCCACATACTGTACATTATTGTTTCTCGTGGAAGATGTGAGGGTGTGTTAGAATGAGCCGTTTTAGGTAGGTGTGGCTGACTCTTAACTTTTATAAAGAATATCTCTTTGGATTTGAGACTTTAGTATTTGCAACTTTACAGATCTTCTTTATGCACCAAGAGCTTGTAACACTCCAAAGAGAAAGGAAAAATTGAAATCACATCATATGACCCTTTTAACTTTCACCTCTTGCACATTCAGAGCTTTTCACTGGATGATATAGCTGATGAACTTCTTGTTTTACTCAATTGCTGTATTTAAAAAGCCCTTTTAAGTTTCATTTTAGATGAATAGTGTTTTGCATACATGTTAAATGTCTTTTACATTTGTATAATTTTTTTTCAAATCCTTTGCTTTGTCTTTGATTGTTAAGTGAATCTAAGTCTTTAAAGACATTTGTGTGTGTATTAAAATTGCTTTGTGCAAAACTCGTTGTTGTGCTTTTTAGTAAGTTAGTAGTTACTAGTACTAATTGTATTCCTTGATACTGTTTTGATGCTTCTGTCTCTCTCGGTTTACCATGGTGAGACTCCTGAATCTAATTTTCACTCTCAGACCAGCAACATCCATCATGTCACACATCTTACTGGACATACAATATTGATTTACTGTGGCATATTGTACCGCTACAGTTTAATTCAGTAGTGCCTTACTTACAGTAAGTCAAGCCAAGAGCACTAAAAATACTGTAATACAACTATGAGGACAGATTGTGTTTTGTATCAGTCTAACATTTAATGCAGTGGGATAGGGATTGTGTAACTTAAGGTCAGGTCTATTCGAGTTTAGCTGGAAACATAAACAAAGCCCACATGAACAAGCTAATAAAGGATTACTTGGAGTGAAGTATATTTTGCTGTATTATTATGTAATAGACATTATTAGGCTGCTGTCTTTAAATCTATAATCACATATTACAATAAAATGAGAAAAAAATATCCAGCATATGTATTTTATATTAATTATATTTATTTACATGCATGTGTGTATTATGAAATAGTTTAATAATAGCTTATTATATGGAGCAGCACATATTTGTCTTTTAACAGTCTGCAATTCACACAGTTCAGTATTTGTATTATCACCAAATCTTGGATTCAATCTTTTTGTCAACTTGTTTTCTTTCAATTAGCACAGGTTTTATGTTTCTTTTTGGAGCTGATTGGCCATAGGCCTCACTGATCTGTGCTTACACACCTTAGTTTTTGAGTACAAAAACCAAACATTATTTTATAGCTCATTTTGGAGAAAGTTATTTTTGACCAGGAATACCAAAAGTGTAACAAGGTGGGGGTAAAAAGTACAGAAATAATCAAAAGTTTTTGGGAAGTTGTTATGCCCTGTGTGAGCAAAGTCAGTACATTTTAGTCTAATGCAATGAATTAGCATTTTCAGGTAAAAATGACAACATGAGGGTTAAATCAGGGAGCTGTATATTCACAAAACACCCAAACACTTCCATAAAAAACCTGATTTCCACTGAGAAGCTTGATGGTAATTAACTGGTCTGGTGTCAAGGACAAAATAAGTGTTGATTACATGTAACCAACTGACATTGATTTTGTGCTGAGATGAAATGTCAGATTTGAGCACAATCTTTATGGAGGAGGTAAATAAATCTTTTCAGTCAGCAGGAGCCACATCTTGAATATTTTATTAACATTCAGAAGAATCATTCCTTCTTTCATCTATCTCATTTCTAGCCCCCTGTTGTACACAAAAACAGAGTATTATTACAAATGTCTTAATCTAACCCCATCATTTTTGTTGTTTTGTCTGTTTTCAGGTGGTCATTTCTTCAACCGTAATTCTGTGTCTCCGCGCAGCGTCGTCTGTGAGATGGAGCTTCCAGACATTCAGGCGTCGCTGGACATGTACGACGACAACAAATCCTGAGGACACGCACCTCATCCTCCTCCAGCCCATTCCTCCATCATCCTCTCCCCGACCCCAGATTGCGGGGAACAACATTTATGAGTGTGAAACAGAGTACTGACAGTGAGCACACTGACTCTGGCGATAAACTCTACCACTGTAGAATGATCTTCAGAGCGATCAAGTGGACGTGATTGGACTATTGCACCATCATCAGCCTCCTTAGACTTTTACACTTACTTTTTGAAAGACTATTTCAAAAGATATCTTTTCACAGATGGCTGTGGGAAGTACCTCTTAGTTCATTTCTCCGGTCTCCTCGGTTATCCACAAATGTTGTTGTGTATGTAATTTGCTGACCGTTTTTAAGTTCCCATGCTTAATATTGTTCCAGATGGGGAAAGCTCTTCTCTCGTGGACAGTCGTGAAAGCAGGATCGGAAACTGAGCCTTTATAGAAGAGCTGTCTGCTTTGTATCTCTGCTTTTGTAGCGAAACAAGATGCAAACGAACTCGTCCTTCATATGCTGAAATGCTGCAGCTTCACGTTTAGTGCTGGCCCGTTAGCACTCGAAACTCCTCGACAAATCACCGTTACTTCCTTGTAGAAATATATACAGTATTTCTCTGTACATAGAATGAAAATGTTTTAAACATGTATTTAAAGAAAATCCTATGGAATACCTACAGCGAATACTAATCAGTTCCAAGCAAGGGGACCTAATATATATATGAATATATACAGTATTTGCATATAATAATTCATATATATCTCTCTCTCTCTCTCTCATTCTCTCTCTCTCAAGTGGCCTCTTAGCACAGTTTGTCTTTCCTGGATCTTGTCCGTGCACAAGAGTGTCTGTCTCTTTTGCGTTCTCGTTTTCGTAACCAGTTTTTGGGGGATGGCATTGTGACCATGCTGGCCTGCACTCACAGAGATCGTTGTGCTGATTCTGCATCAGTTTTGTTTTCTGTCATATGTGGTTGCAGTCAGGACAGGGCTGAAGCTCTACTCTGAGACACTCAGTGAGTAAAGGCTCTGCTTTAATGTGGGTCATGATATGGGCTACCTATGTTACATACTGCCTCAGCATTAAACTTGTCATAATTGCCTATACTGCTTTCTTTCTTTGGGTGAGGTTTAAAATCAACACAAATAACAAAAAAACAATGTTATATTAGTATATATTAAAGTAATTAGTATTTTGAATTAGCTTTTATATTTTTAGTATTAATTTTAATTTTAATTTCAGTTTTAGTAAATATAATTCTTTTTTTTCTATATGTATATAGTAGCTTTATTTTTATACATTTTTAGTACTTTTTTTTTACTTTCGACTTTTTACGTTTTTTTTAATGCATTTTATATCAGTTAGTGGCCAAGGCAACATTTTCATTTACATTTCTAATATTCATTTAAAATGTAATCCAATGTTTATATTTCATTTTATTTCAGCTTTATTTCAATTAATGAAAAGCTAGTTTTATTTTTAGTTAACAATAACAACACTGACATGGATGGATGGATAAATAAGCTTTATTGGGGCACTGGCCATTTTGGAGTTCAATGGAATAAATTTGTTCCACCCTGAACAAAAGGGAAAAAAGAGCAAATTTGATTTTTATAAAGGGAAACACTGTTAAATATGATTAAATACTGATTTAAATATTTTATTATGTTTATTATTATTATTATTATTAGGGCTGGGTTTTGACACAGATTTCACGATTAAATTCGATTCTCATTCACAAGCTTGCGATTCGATTACCAATTCGATTCAATTCAATATCGATTATTTTGGATATATATCAGGTACAGTACATACCAAATTTTCTCAAAGAAAAAAATCTCTCAACTAATGCTGTAAAATATACATGAGAGTCAGTTGGTACAACATTACTATAATATTGAAGGTTAAATTTGACTGATTTGTTAAAATTACACAGGATACGGATTGTAAAGTTGTACTCTTCGGATGTTTAGTCATGTTTATTTTGTTCTGTCACTCCACATTAAACAGCGCCAAAACGGCATTTGTTGTTTAAATACCACAATACAATGGACAGAATTTGAAATCTGAGACTTTGTTTCATATTAAAAGTACCAAAGCACAATGCTTATTGCGATTTATTGGGTGGGAAGTGCCCTTCAGTGTTCCGTCCATTAACTGAAAACAGGCTAGAATAATCGATTCGTGGGATTTAAGAATCGATATCCTTCCGTAAAAATGAGAATCGATTAATATCGAGATATCTATATTTTTTTACCCAGCCCTAATTATTATTATTATTACATAAATAAATATTTTTATATAAATAGTAGAGCTGGTGAAAATGTTACGGCAAAAATAAAGCATCACACCTTATGTTAATGTTAATAAATTACTCTCAATTACAATTGAATAGAATTATAAGCAGCTTCACAATTAAACAGGAAGTGTAATAGATGTCGTTTTTTTATATATATATACTTTTGTAATAACCCTGCTGGAAAAAAAAAACAATAGAAACCATCACAGGGTCATAGTTTTAATGGGACTTGTATTGGTTTTAATGGAAACTGTAATGGTGTCTATTGGTCTCCATTAGTAATTGGTCGCCTTCTATTGTTAAAACAACTAAATCCTAATGGAATATGTCCCAAAACACACTACAGAAGACCATTTGTAATGGTTTTAATGGTTAAAAGCTGATGGTTTGTAATGTGTGTACTGGTATTTGTAGTGGAAACCGTTAGAATTTCTGTGATGGTTTCTATTGTTTTTTTCAGCAGGGAACTGAGTAACACGGGCACCATTGAGTGTGATCATTAGCTTCTTGGAAAGCCTTAGGAAAAATTGTTGCTTTCGAATATAATTAGACGCTATTGTATTAATTTCGTTTAATTGAATTCGGTTAATTCAGTGTGTATAACCTTTTCGTCTGTGATTCCTTGGCGCTTTATTTTCACATTTGCCGTCTGTTTGCCTCAGGTAATGCGTTCACCCGCCGCGCGAGGGCGATAGAGCGCTCTGATCTGCTGCAGGAAATGACCGAGAGCAGAAATGAAAGTTGTTCAAGTGTACAGAATGATTAACTGAACGTTTACTAATAACTCTATTTAAATGGCGTTTACTTTGTTAATAAATTACTCTCAATTACAATTGAATAGAATTATAAGCAGCTTCACAATTAAACAGGAAGTGTAATAGATGTCGTTTTTTTATATATATATACTTTTGTAATAACCCTGCTGGAAAAAAAAAACAATAGAAACCATCACAGGGTCATAGTTTTAATGGGACTTGTATTGGTTTTAATGGAAACTGTAATGGTGTCTATTGGTCTCCATTAGTAATTGGTCGCCTTCTATTGTTAAAACAACTACATCCTAATGGAATATGTCCCAAAACACACTACAGAAGACCATTTGTAATGGTTTTAATGGTTAAAAGCTGATGGTTTGTAATGTGTGTACTGGTATTTGTAGTGGAAACCGTTAGAATTTCTGTGATGGTTTCTATTGTTTTTTTCAGCAGGGAACTGAGTAACACGGGCACCTTTGAGTGTGATCATTAGCTTCTTGGAAAGCCTTAGGAAAAATTGTTGCTTTCGAATATAATTAGACGCTATTGTATTAATTTCGTTTAATTGAATTCGGTTAATTCAGTGTGTATAACCTTTTCGTCTGTGATTCCTTGGTGCTTTATTTTCACATTTGCCGTCTGTTTGCCTCAGGTAATGCGTTCACCCGCCGCGCGAGGGCGATAGAGCGCTCTGATCTGCTGCAGGAAATAACCGAGAGCAGAAATGAAAGTTGTTCAAGTGTACAGAATGATTAACTGAACGTTTACTAATAACTCTATTTAAATGGCGTTTACTTCAACATTAGTTGTTTTGACAATTTACCATGAGCTGCTCACGGGATCCAACGGCGTCGAACTATTCAGGACAACTCTGACGGACGGAGAACGAATGAAGACTTTTCAGCGAGGACATGAAAACAATGAACACTATCAGAGACGGATTCATTTCCAGGTACATTTAGTGTACTAACATTAATATCTCACAAACTACAGCATTAAATAAGAATCATAAGAACTCAATCACCGCGGCTGATAAGTGACAATAACTGTGTTTCAAAGCCTAGTGAACTGCCTAAGTAGACGCTGTAGCAGCTTTAGGCATCATAGATGAGCTCCCTCACACAAATACAGTTTTGTTCATGCGCCTTGGATGCCTAGAAATGCTGTCTAGTTAGGCAGACAATAACTTGCTGATTTTAATGCATCTAAATATTAAAACCATAAAGTAAATCTACAGCTACTACTTGCCTCAATATAAAATATGAGTGAAAAAAATGTAGACAATGCCAGTAATGCCATTAGTTTCTGTCATGTGATGTGTCAAATGTCCTCATGTGATTAGCATCTCACCTGTTGCTCAAGGTGTCTTATGGTCATGTCTTGTTTTGGCTGATTGTAGAACTCACTCAAGAGACAAGCCTTTCTGAATTCAGCACTGAAGAGATCAGACCAGTCTGCCCGTTACGGCATCAACCAGTTCTCGGACTTATCTCCACAGCAATTCAAAGGTGACTATATGCAGGTTATGGATTCTTACAGATGAATGCACTTTGTATGATGCCATCTATCATGTCTCATTTTTTCTCAGAGCGATATCTCACTGCCCGGACTGAGACGGCTCCAAAGTTTGACCCCTCTAGGACTGGAATTCAAGTTAAGATGAATTATCCACCCAAGTTTGATTGGAGGGACCATGGAATTGTCGGACCAGTCCGAAACCAGGAGTCGGTATGGTGTTGATATTAAGACTAGGGTTTACATGTGATCTTTTTCCACTCATGTAAATACTCAAAACATATGACTTTTTTTTTTTCTTACTATGTGTAATAGATAGGTAGGGCTGGGCGATATAGCTAAAAAATGTATCAACGATACAATGTTTCATATCGTTCGGTATCGATAATTATTGATATTTTTATAATCTTTTTTTAAAACAAAAAGCAATAGAATTTTTTTTTATTTATTTAACCACTGTAACACAATTTATTGAGACAAACAACAAATATTTTTTGTTTTAACAATCAAACACAATAAAAATTAAACAAATATCTAATTTCTAATGTTTTATATGCAGATTAAATAGGTCTTTATTGTATAGGTCTAATTGTCTCCCGAGGCCACAGGAGGGCGGAATGAGCAAAATAATGCAGCGCATTTAGCAAGTAACTCTATAAAAAAAACAAGCATTACGTCTAAATTAACTCATAAAAATCAAATATAGTTTCGTAAATTGCATAAATGGTTATGAACAAAACAGCATCATGTATTTATGCATTGCTTAATCCAAAGAGCCGAAGCGCCATTCACACAGACTGCATTTAAAAACATATGAGACGCAGTGAAAAGGAATAAACCTCCACAAATTTACGACGTGTTTTCTAAAAGTTTAAACTGTTTTATCTTTGCGTGGCTTTCTATACATCTCTTCTGTGAGACGCGAGTGCAGCAGTCGTATTTGTCCGTCTAAAAAATGTGCTGAATATGCATTCTGTGTGAATGGCTTGGTTTCGGTTTTAACACATTCAAGATCTTCTCCGCATTGAGCTTCTATATTGCTCTAATATTTTGAATGAATAACGCAGCAGCGGCACATCTCGTGGGCTAGACTAACAAAACATTAAAATGAAACAACGGCACTCACGTCATTATCACCGCATGTCGCGCGCCACTGATGTGATGCACACCTAACATTCAAATGCAAATGTTTATTTTAAATTCGACTAATATTCATTCTTTATTCACAATCTCCTCATCACAGGCAGGCACAGCTCTCAATTCAGCATGTATTCGTGTTTGTGTGTGCTGTCTGCTTGACTCATAGGACGTGCCAATATCGTGCGCTATATCGAACATTTTTTGAAGCGATATCGAAGAAGGTGTACCGTCGATAAATATTGATACGTTTTATCGCCCAGGCCTATAGATAGGTTTACTCTGTCTGCATTTCTTCTTGCTTTTTTGTCTAGTGTGGAGGATGCTGGGCCTTCAGTGTGGTGGAGGCCATTGAAACGGTATCTGCTAAAGATGGTGGAAAACTGCAGCAGCTCAGTGTGCAGCAGGTTATAGACTGCTCTTATGAAAATGAGGGCTGTAATGGTGGATCTCCTGTTGGAGCTCTGGATTGGTTGGCACAGGTGCTGTCATCTGCTTTCTCTTTTTCTTGTGATGATATAACTGGGAAAGATTAAAGGTGCTGTAGGAGATCTTGGGAAATGCTAACTTTATCATATATATGTATATATATATATGTGTGTGTGTGTGTGTGTGTGTGTGTGTGTGTGTGTGTGACCCTGGACCACAAAACCAGTCATAAGGGTCAGTTTTTTTTTATTTTTGAGATTTATACATCAGCTGCTGAATAAATAAGCTTTCCATTGATGTATGGTTTGTTAGGATAGGACAATATTGGGTGAGATACAACTATTTGAAAATTTGAAATTAAAATATTGAGGAAAATCTCCTTTAAAGTTGTCCAAATGAAGTCCTTAGCAATGCATATTACTACTCGAAAAGTTTTGATATATTTACGGTAGGAAATTTACAAAATATCTTCATGGAACATGATCTTTACTTAATATCCTAATGATTTTAGGACAGCTGCAGCTCATCCAGAATGCTGCTGCCAGGATTCTGACTAGAACCAGAAAATCTGAGCATATTACACCAGTCCTCAGGTCCTTACACTGGCTTCCAGTTATATTTAGGATTGATTTTAAAGTACTTTTACTCGTTTGTATATCACTCAATGGCCTAGGACCTAAATACATTGCAGATATGCTCACTGAATATAAACCTAACAGACCACTCAGATCATTAGGATCGAGTCAGTTAGAAATACCAAGGTTTCACACGAAACAAGGGGAGTCCGCCTTTAGCTATTTTGCCACCCACAGTTGGAACCTGCTTCCAGAAGAGATCAGAAGTGCTAAAACATTAGTCACATTTAAATCTAGACTCAAAACTCATCAGTTTAGCTGTTCATTTATTGAATGAGCACTGTGCGATGTCCGAACTGATTGCACTGTATTTTATGTATAATCATTTTCTATTTTTAACTGTTTTAAATTCATTTTAAATCATTTTTTAAATAATTTCCAAAGTTTTTAAATTCCTTTTTTTTTATTGTTGTGATTATTTTTTATTATTTTACTTTCTTTTATGTAAAGCACTTTGAATTACCATTGTGTATAAAATGTGCTATATAAAAAAAAATAAAAAAATTGGCATAGAAGAAAAATCGATAATTTTGACCCATACAATGTATTGTTGGTTATTGCTACAAATATACCTGTGCTACTTATGACTGGCTTTGTGGTCCAGGGTCACATATAATACTATTATTATTATTATTATTAAAATAGAAACCATTTATTTGAAATTGTAACAATATTTCACAATATTACAGTTTTTACTTCAATTTTGATTAAAAAATCTTACAGACCCCAAACTTTTAAACGGTTGTGCAACAAAGTTTGTACAGGTTATTATTATCCTATTATCATTATTTTATATTTCTTAAATTTGCAAACAAGACACTTGGAATCTTACAGCTGATTAAAAGCAGTAGTTATGTTGATCAGATCTGTGATATGTATTGTGAAGTGCATATTCTAAGCTTTTAAATGACACCTTTTATTTTTGAGAAGCTTCTTAATTAGTATTTTAATAAGGGTGTTAATTAATTAGCTAGCTGCAGCAGTTTTGAGAGGGTTAAAACTTGGAAGTGAAAAAAATAAATAAATTGTCCATTCCAGCCACAACAAGCTGCTGATTAAAGATTAAAGGAAATTCCATAATTGGCACATTCTCATATCCTGTTTTGTTTATCCTTTTTCAGACCAAACTGAAGTTGGTGAATGAGGCGGAGTATCCCTTCAAAGACATGGCTGGGATCTGCCAGTACTTTCCTCAGTCTCACACTGGAGTGGCAGTGAGGAATTACTCAGCTTATGACTTCAGGTAATGGATGTAGCATGCAGGTGGCTTGAGCTTTACATCAACAGCCAGCTATGCCATTGCATTAAGAGCAGTGTAGACCTCGTGTACTATTAAAATTCAAGGTTAAAGTTTGTCGGGATGTGGGCCAATGTTTTATGTTTACTCATCTGTTCTTGTCAACTCTGTTTGCAACTCAGGGTCAGGTGCTGAACGGCCACTGACTGCACTCACAAAGCTCACGGACCACTGGTCAAATACCAAACCAAACACTTCTGACCTGTGCTTCGTTGTCTTACATTTGTGCCAGATGTCACTCTGTGTCTTACATAGTGTTCTTATTGTAACAAGACAGTTTTTGTCTTAACCAACTGGGTCAACCAGCGAGCCGGTTTGCATGGTTTGGTTTCAAAAGTGACAACGACTTTTGAACTTTCTATTAATCTAAAAATCCTGAAAGCTATGTTTCACAGTTTCCACAAAAATATTAAGCAGCACAACTGCTTTCAATGTTGATAATAATACAAAATGTTTCTTGAACACCCAATCAGCGTATTAGGATGATTTCTGAATGATGTGACTCTAAAGACTGGAGGAATGATGCTGAAAATTCAGCTTTACCATCACAGGAATAAATTACAGTTGAAAGTATATTGAAATAGAAAACAGTTATTTTAAATTGTGCAGTATTTTTGTGTTCAATTTGGAAATGAACTAGTAATCAATTAAGTAAATCTAAGTATTGCGCCCATGGGATTGTTACAGTTGAAGTCAAAAGTTTACACACACCTTGCAGAATGTTAATTATTTTACCAAAATAAGATATGCACATTCATGTTATTGTTTATTTAGTACTGACCTGAATAAGATATTTCACATAAAAGATATTTACATACAGTCCACAAGAGAAAATAATAGTTGAATTTATAAAAATGTCCCAGTTCAAAAGTTTGAAGTTGATTCTTTATACTGTGTTGTTACCTGAATGAAAAGATGGATCTCAGAATCATAGTCATTGTTGGAAAGGGTTCAAATACACAAAAATGCTGGAAAACCAAAGAATTTGTGGGACCTGAAGGATTTTTCTGAAGAACAGCAGTAAGTTTAACTGTTCAGGACAAACAAGGGACTCATGAACAACTATCACTAAACAAAAAAACACTGCTGTGGATCATCCAGGTAACTACACAGTATAAAGAATCAAGGGGATGTAAACGTTTAAACTTTTGTTTTTATATATTCAACTTTAATTTTCTCTTGTGGACTGTATGTAAAAATCTTTTATGTGAAATATCTTATTCAGGTCAGTACTAAATAAACAATAACATGCATTTTGTACGATCCCTCTTATTTTGGTAAAATAATTGACATTTTGCAGATTCTGCATGGTGTATGTAAACTTTTGACTTCAACTGTATGTTGTTGTAGTGGACAGGAGGAGGTGATGATGAGTGTGCTGGTGGAGTCGGGGCCTCTTGTTGTCATTGTGGATGCCATCAGCTGGCAGGATTACCTGGGCGGCATCATTCAGCACCATTGCTCCAGCCACAACGCCAACCATGCCGTCCTGATCACCGGTTATGATACCACAGGTACACAGACACGGGTGGTTAAACACTCTTTACTTGTGCCTCAGAGCATATAAAGGTTCAGAGCGCTGGCCTTCACGGATTACGTCCTGTCAAGGGCACAAAATTGAGCAGACACTGGCAAACACTGGCTGTGCGCCAACATCCCAGAAAACTGCCTGATGTGTCTGCACTATAATCAGCAAGCTGTCCGCAGCGTTTATCCTCTGCGATAATTTGTTTTCTCTTGTTTGTTTACTAGTTTAAATTAGGTACTTTCAGGTTAAAGTAGAGAAATTGATGCTTCGTGTCATGCCAAAACTGTTACTGCGAGTATTATCAATCATTTCATACCATTATACTGTGTAGAATGACTTGTTATTAATCATTTCCCATTTTAGGGTATGTTTTCAATGATGTGTCTTCATATTTTGTCACAGGGGAAGTGCCGTATTGGATAGTACGCAATTCATGGGGGACCTCATGGGGTGACAATGGATATGCTTACATAAAAATAGGGAATGACATGTGTGGTAAGTTTATATACTGTAGTGACCCACTTTTAATGTTTTTTACCTCGTTGACAGTCACAGTGATACACGCAATACATTCTGCTGCTGTGAGGCATTGTGTGTGTTCATAAATATTCATGAAATGTTTGGACGTTGGCAAACAGTCAATACTGTGTATAATGTAAAAATCTAATCATAAATGCTTAGTTGATCATGTTTAAATTCATATCAGATGATTTGGAAATGATGTACCGAGGTTATTTTGAAGTCGTGATCTTGTTTGTCAGTGGCTTTGAATGATTTGATGCAATGTCAGATGACACTCAACAGCCACTCTTTCTCTTTTCCCAGGCATTGCGGACAACGTTGCTGCTGTTTTTCTGTAATTGTCAATAATCTTTGTACTTCCGTGAAAAGACCGTGGCAGATCGACATTTTAAAAATATCACCCTCAGGACGGAAATCCTCCGGTGTAGCTGATGAGAATTGTAAAAATTATCACGGGGATGCGGATAACAAATCCTATTGCCTCTCGAATGCAAAGCAAGTACGCTGCTATTTGAGCTAATACACCACATTCCTAATCCCAGCCACTGTAGCCCAAAATAATTGCAGTCAGAGCCGCTTTCTATTTTAGTTATCACACACCAGCTAGATTTGTCCATAAGTATGCTTTAATCTGTAGAAAACACTGTTGGTGAATACAAGTGCACAACTGAACACGTATTGTATTGTGACATTGCACTGATATAGGACACAAGGGAACTCATCTGCAAAAATGTGAAAATATTATTAGATGTGAATACTAATTACAGCCCTAAAGAGTTTTGCAAGAAAAAGTGCTTATTACTACAGCATGTACCAGATATTTAAAAAGTTCTGCTTTTATAAAAAAATGTAACTACAAAGTTAACTTTTTATTCTGTTTTACAGTTTTGCATTTGCTAATGCATTTTAAAAATAATCAGAAATGTTTATGTATAGTAAATAAACACTATTCTAAGTTTCTCTATAGGTGTGTATTTTATTTACAAAACAGAAATCAGTTTATTACATGTTAAAATATTATATTATATTGACAATATATACACAAGTGCATCAACAGTTTTACTGATGTAGATATTTTGTTGCCGCTGTTGTTAAATTGACTTTCATATTCATATCTTTTCAATTCATATTCTAGGACTTCTATAAAATCAGCACAGCTTTGTAGCCTCTCATTCTGTCATTTAAAAAGTTTTTTGGTGACAATTCTTGGTGATGGTAGACTTGTGAGGTGTGAAGCTTTTTTTTTTTTTCTTCTGTACTCTGCAAACGCTGTCCATCCTTTCCTCATCCCTCCATCTGTTTAGTCTGAGTCATCGCTGCTGCTGCAGTAGGAGCTGTCGCAGCATTCGGCCATGTACAGGAAGGTGTGCTCACTCGGGTCCAGCTTGGGAACCCACTCCCTCGGAACCAGGAAGGTGGCCAGGTTAAACAGATCCACAAACACCTTGTAGCGATCACTGGCAAAACATACATAAGGCTTATCAATACATCCTGTTCTTGTTTTTAAGTGGTTTGTGTTTAGAAGTTTTGCATATTGCTGCCAATTCACATCTCATTTTCCAGCATTGTTTCACATGGATAATTCCAACAGATGCAGAGGGTTTCATCTGAAGACTGGATTTGTCCCAGATTATTTGGCCTACCTGACAGTGGAGCGCAGGTACTGATAGCCTGATGAGCCACCTGTGCCGTCTTTACTGCCAATCATTCTGTGCACCATACACACGTGGTTGTCTAGGGGAAAATTCCGGCATAAATTATGCAGGAAGTAAAATAAAATCATTAGTTCTCTTTTATTCAGTGTTGACATTCCTAATAGGCTTTGCCCCACAGGGTGTTTTAGGTCAGGTTTATTTGTTGTTCTGATGCTTTATGTTTTCAGTGGTGTCACATACATCTCCATTTTTGTCATGAGGGTGTCGATGTCCATCAGAGATGTCAGGAGCTGGAAAGGAACCTGAAATCGAGGCTCCTCCCTGAGAGCAGATGGCGATAAGTTGAGTTACAAATGAGCTATTAGAAAACATTTTCAGGAAAAGTACCATGGTATTCTTTTAAGTGGAGTATCATGTAAATAGTAAATAAATGGCAAGTATCATTCAGTACCATGACATATGCCAAGAAGTACCATATTACATCTGATTTTAAAAGTATATTTGTAAATGTTAAGGTAATGTTTTATAGTAGGCCTGTCTTTCAGACAAGAGAGTCAAATTTAACTTGGGTTGGTTTTCAAATATGTAAGTTTTCAACACTACAGCAATACCAATAACATGAACTAACAATGCTTTTACAATATTTATTTATCTTGGTTAATGTTAATTTCTACATACAGTTCTATATTTTTAGCACACACACACACATATATATTGTTAATTTTAAACTTCTACATACAGTTCTATATTTTTAACACACACACACACACACACACATATATATATATATATATATATATATATATATATATATATATATATATATATATATATATATATATATATATTGTTAATTGTAAACTACTGTTCAATGTTAGTGTGTTACCTAATGCATTAAAAGTTAATATACACTACTATTCTTAATGATTTTATTCAGCAAAAAAAATATTTAAAGTGCCCCTATCATGGATTTTTGAAAATTACCTTTCATGCAGTGTGTAACACAGCTCTAAGTGAATGAAAACATTCTGCAAAGTTTTAAATCTGAAAGTGCACCGTGTATAAAGTTATTGTCTCTCAAAAGAAAGAGTCGACTCTGAATCATTGAAACGAGTCGTCTTTAAAACAAATACCAAGCAGTTTCATGTTGACTCAACATAAAACATTAGCATATTTCCCGCCCACTTGGTCTTTTCGTGTTGGTCTGAATGAAAATGCAAATTCATTATTTGCTACTAGGTGCCACTTTTGGAGCGGTAAAAATAGCGGTTTTCCGGTAACGGCTGTACACAAAGCAGCACTGCGCTCACAAACGCTGCTTTATCAGGCATTACAGGCAAGGACCAATCACCGCAGGTTAGAGGCATGCAAAGGAGGGGTTTGGAAAAATGAATCGTTGAGCGAATCGTTTGGGAGTCGTTGAGCAAATAAGGTAAAAAATAAATGCATATTATAAGACAATGAAAGTGTTTTTTGACCTTGCATGCATGTCAACCTGTTGTTGGGGACTCCCAAAACCAAAATATGAACCTTTCATTAGGCCCAAAATAGGCTTGGGCACTTTAAATTGGTCGAAAGTGACAGTTAAAACATGTATATTGTCACAAAAGATTTCTACAGTATGAAAATTATGTTCTTTTGAACTTTCATCAAAGTTGTTTAAACCTAATAATGTTTCTTGAAGACCAAATCAGCATATTAGAATGATTTCTGATGGATCATGACACTGAAGACTGGAGAAATGGCTGATGGCTTTGCCGTCACAGAAATAAATTATATTTTAAAATATATTTAAATAGAGAACAGTTATTTAAAATTGTAAAAATATTTCAAAACATTACTATTACCTCTTTTTTTTCTTTTTTTTTTTTAACGAAGCCTTGTTGAGCATGAGAGTCATAGAACAGCATCTTTTAACTGATTTTGTGATTAAATTAGCAGGTCATCCTGCAGATAGATGTACCTGTAGAAGTAGATCATCAGTGCTCCTTGCAGTGCTTTATAGGACAGCCTCCTATGACCTGCACAGACAGAAGATATTCACTTGTAACCACTAGAGGATTTGTCACTTGACATTGTATCTCTGCAACGTCTCGAGAGCTTTGCTGACCTGTACTTACTAAGTGATCATGTCTTTTCTCATCAAAGAGCGATAAGAAAATGTCTCTCTGCTTAATGAGCTCGGCCATCATCTCCTCTTTCATCTCAGAGGCTGGTTTTTGCTATTAAGAGGAAACAAGAGTTGTCACTTACAACTTAGATGTGAGCATTGCACAGAATTATCCAGGGATCCTCCACATACCTCTATCTGTTCCTTCTCTCTCCTGAGCCCCTCAAAAATATTGGTTTCCAGTTTCCCCCAAAAATTAAAGCCATCTTCCTCCAAGCCGGGCGTTCTCTCCAGCCATTGCTGGAAAGTATTGATTGCTTATGAGAAATGTTAATCAGCAGGTTGCTGTCTGATAGATTAACCCTGACTTGATATATAATTTGGCTCCGTAACCTATTCCTCTCTGAATACCAATAACCTGCAATGAAATCCAGTAAGTTATGGTTCTCGTGCTGAATTTCATTGATTAATACAGTATTCATGACTTCACAGCTAATATTTAATCTTATAATGTCATTTCCCTCAGGTTTACCTCCACTAACTGCAGCAGCGTGGGCTCCTGCTCTGAATGAAGGAGCAGCTCACTTTCCTGGTCACGGAAATTGTCCCGGTAATGCCTTCTGTTGTAGGGGACCCTCTGGTTGTGCGGGACCCCAATCTTGTTTTCCAACAGTCGAAACTGCAGACTCTGGAAGCCTGAAGCAGGTGAGAGATATTCCCTGTGTACAAAAAAACGCAGATCAATCGAGCTAAATGCAATTATGCTAAACACTGCCATTGATTTTGATTTAACAAATTAGTGCATCTAATGCTTATTTACTGAGTTAGCTATCTCCCGTCTCTTGAGTGGTAGCACATTTCCAACAGCAAGTTTGTCCAAACAATTCTGTTATCCAGGAAATGTAATACTTGTTTTCAGTAATTGTTTGGCAGTGAGACTTAAAAAAAAAAAAAAACAGTATTAGGAATCGAAATAGTGAGAAATATATACACCTTACCTGAAGTCATAGAAGTCTAAGGCAGTCATGGTTTCCAGAACAGAAAACTGGTCAAGCAACAATCTGAATATCATCACAATCCTGTGGATGCGAGTGTTGACTTCGAGCATGTTTCGTTCGTCACGTACCTGAGGAAATATGTAGTACATTTCGATTCATTATAATGTCCCTGACACATGACATTAACTAGAGATGTGTCTTAAAGTAGACTGAAGGTGGCAGCCTCATGCTGCAGTGCACATCCTTTCTTTGAACTAAACTACATACATCAGAAAACTGAAGGTTTGGGCTGTTCATCTTCATCCTGAAGGCCCCCAAACAATAAATGAACTGCATTTTTTATTAGGTTTAGAAGCATGCATATGTGGCGCTTTGACAAGAATCCCAAATATCCTTATAAAATGTGAAGTAAAATTTAAAAAACACTATTTTTTAAATATATTAATAACTGTATTCAACAATGACGAAATAAGGACATTTACAAGGTTAAAACGATTTTTATTTCAAATAATTGCCATTCTTTTGAACTTTCTATTCATCAAAGAATCCTGAAAAAAGTATCACTGTTTCCACAGAAATATTAAGAAGCCCAACTGTTTTCAGTTTTAATAATAATAATAATAATAATAATAATAAATGTTTCTTGAGCATAAATTTAGCATATTACAATGATTAACACTGAAGACTGGAGTAATGACTGCTGGAAATTCAGCTTTACCATCAAAGTAATAAATTGCAATTAAAAATATATTAAAATAGATAGAGACATTTATTTTCAATTTTTAATGATATTTCACAATATTACAGCTTTAGCGAACATAAGAGACTTCTTACAAAAAACATAAAAAAATCTTACCAACCTTACTTTTGAATGCTAATGCAGAATAGCACAAAATAAAAGATAACAACATTAAAATAATTGCCCTGGTTCTGTCTGAATTGGTGTTTTATTTTCAGATATTTATGAAAATCATTCATCATCTCTCGCCAATCTCTTCTTTGTGCCCTGCCAGCGTGAACCTTCATTAGATGTAACATTCTCATTAAAAATGATCTTTAACAAATTTTTAATAGGTGACTTATTAAATCTTAATCGTGTTACATTGATTAAAAGCAAGCCC